TGTCACGTGACAAGCCGTCACCTGTGGCCACAGGATGTCACGTGACAAGCCGTCACCTGTGGCCACAGGATGTCACGTGACAAGCCGTCACCTGTGGCCACTGATTTCCTGAATCTGAATCAAATTAATTTGGTTCACAAAGTGAAGATTCAGTTTCCGGTTCCATTTCATTTGATTTAATATCGACTGACACCCAAAAATTAAATTCGGCCAATCCTTATGTTTGTTACATTTGGTTAGCTGAGCATGCCACACATGACTGTTTTGGTAAATCATGGAAGCGATAAGCACTGAAGTGGCGGTGAAGAAAGGGACAGATCAGTAGCCACACCACAGAGAGTCTGGATAAACAAGGTGAAAAGACATTGATGGTCTGGTGGTACTTTTTGTAGTTAAAAGTCTGCCACTTATAATAAACAAACGAGGATATGCTGAATTGATCCGGGCTACTAACTTCTGGGCATCACAATTCAATTCAACTCAAATAACTTTATTTGTCCCCGAGGGGCAATGCGCATCTCCGTAGTAATTTGGTGTACTACTAATCTATTCATCTGCTTATCTAACTGTGGCCGTATGTAGACGTCCATATAGTACCAAAAAATTTACGTTCATACGAATTTTTATGGCCATTATCTAAAGCTCTGAAATTGCATTGCATTTGTCGGCAGTGATTTGTGTCTGACGACACGCATAAACATGTTTTTTGTTTTATCGATAGTGCTATAATAAGTGCAAATATTTCAAATAATTGCCCTATCTTCAACGGAGCAGCTTCCGCCATGTCTATCTGTTTTTGTCTGCCAGAACTCGTTGCACAAGGATGGTCACATGAGACTGACAGGGTTAAAGCGTTGCAAATCCATGGGAAAAGGCCATAGACTGTAAAAGGCATATTACAAAATCAATCCCTGGATCTTATGAAAAGATATTGGATTATGCAAATTAAGATCTATTTGAATCAGGAGATCATTTAATTAATTTATTTAAGGCCCAGCCCTAATCCTATACAGGTAAACAGTAATATGAGAATTCCTCCAGGACCACTGAGCAAACGGTGACTGCGGGATGGTTTTCACAATACTTCCAGTGTAAAAACACAGGACACTGTGACATGGGGGCTGGACATGAGGGTTTGTATAAAAACTGCATTGAAAATTGTAGGTAAACAAAAAAATAATGCAGCGCAAAAACGTGGGTGTCGTTCTTGGGAATGGGCTGGTGGTTAGGGGGACTGCTGATGTCACACTTACTTTTTATGCATTGTACGGAAATTTGTGAGTCAGAAGACCTTGTGGTATAGCTGCTTTTTAATTTGGTGTTACTCGGCTTGTAAGAATTTGTGCAAAGCTATTCCATTGCTTGCAGCGTTCAGCGTGTTGAGGGAAAAATCAATAGACCCTGGAGTGACAGGCTGTATTTTCGATTCCACGCGCTCAGCTCCAGTGGTGGATGGTAACGATTGCGTTTGATTGCGGTCAAAGTGTTTCACGTTTACAGCCAATTCATGCAGATGCTACTGGCCATTGACCAGGGTCAGAGTGTGGCACCAGCTAATATTTCCCATGCTGTAGGCACTGAGGAAGCTGTAAGTGGCTTTTCTTCCATTTTCCAGTTCGTCTTTAATCTCCCTGGTCGTTTTTATGCCACTGGCTTGTTCAGATTCAAAGCATACTCCGGATCCAGACCTGGTTCTGAAGTTCGGCCCGGTGGACAGCACGTTGGGGTTCCTCCCTTGGCACATCAGGCTGACGGAGTTCATGTGAGTACCACATCCGGACCATGTGCTAGTTTAGTGCTTCTTTCTGTGTCCAGACTTTTGCCCTTATAGCCTAGATAGCTGTGCTGGCTCACTGAACGGGCCCTGAGCCTAGATCTTACAAACACCAGAAAGACACATTCCTCCAGTAAAATATTCATCTATTTGTACTGTATGAGGCATCCTGTATCGTGCTTTTTTGAATCTCTTACACAGTTATTGTTATTGTTTTTTGTTGCCGCATATGAAAATAATCCAGCTGCCACTAAGGGGCGCCATGTCACTGAATGTAGAACACAGATGTTTCCGGCAAGTCTCGACTGGCCTTCCTATCTCCCAGTTTCCCATACCAGAAAAGATCTCTGCAATGAAAGCGGTATTTAGCTGTTATAGTTATGAAAACTAAACTCGGGGTGCATAATCTGCCTTTTCACACTGCCACAAAGCTTTTATGAGGTTTCTGCGATTGTGCTGGTCGTTCCCCGGCTGCTCTTGGTGAGACTATGTCACTCACTCTTCCCCTCTCCAGCTCCTTGCCCTCCCACGTGGACGTCTCCTACGAGGACTTTTTCAGTGCACTACAGCGCTACGCATCCTGCGAACAGAGGCTGGGCAAATGAGGCGTGGCTCCGCCCATTGGCTGTGACAGGAAGTGGAGCCCCCGCAGCCGCAAGCACCCGCCTCCTGTCACATCTCTGCCCCCTACACCCCTGCCCCCCCCCTGCCTCCACGGCCTGGATTCGCTCCCCAAAACAGGCAGAGACTCTCCGGTGTGAAAGTGACTCGAAAGGGGAGCGGACACTGACTGGAATGAATCGGTTTGGAAAGAGGGAAAATTCTGGAAAGACGGTCAGCAGTATGGCACACACACTTCATATAGGCTTTTTTTTGGGGGGAGGGGTCTATTTCATGTCTTTCAATGGCAAAATTAGAATTCCATTCAACATACCTTGGTGCTCTCGATAAAGAGAACTTTCTGTGATCAAATAAGGCACATTACGTCATACATGCCCTGCGGGAACATTTACATGAAGAAGCAGCCGTTTGTAAACGTGTTCTACAAATTATTTGCTTTTTTGTTCCCGTCCGGTCTGACGTCCCAGGTGGATTGTCCATGCAGTCCCACAACAAGAGCACTAGGCCTACTGGTGAATGCTGTGCATGTCTCAGCCCGGCGGGGGCGATGAAATCCCAGCCGTCCAGTGTCTTATCACAGAAGCGAGTATCTGTGCCTCGCAGCACTCGGACCTGCCTCTTCCCTTTATCGCATGCTCTCCTGCGCATTTCTTCGTTGTCGTCGGCGTCCATAGTGAAAGAGCAGAAATCTTTTATTTGCCACCGTTTATTTAAAAAAAATGGGTCATCCGAGCCAGTGCGACAGTAACTAACGTCATAGCGTCTTGCCTGTAATTCGTGGCACTTATTAAAACCTGATAGAAGCATAACGCAGTTTGTATTTCGTCCCCATTTTTGGTTGCAGTCCATGCGTCCTATTTGTTCTGTTGTTCACACGTTCAGACACGGGTAAGAAGTGGGTTCGATGAGCTGGGCAGCTAATTTCTCGTTATGCTGCATAACGCTTACGCTTATAGCCCGGCCGTGCCGTCGCATCGACAGGCTATCCACTCCCATAACCTTAAAGACAAAGTATTTCTGCTCTGTGTCATGTTGAAGGACACCCTGGACAGTATGTTTCTAACTTGTTACCCGTTAAACTAACAAGGGGCGGAAACTAGATTTCAAAATATGGGGAGAGGTAATGTGAAGTGGTGCGCAGTCTGGCTTTTGTAATTGTTCATGTAATTGCATTGTCGTGATCGGAATACATGCATACTTTTTAATATATTTATCGTGAGCAGCCCTACGGCTCCGTAGCAGCCGGTTTGGCTTAACGGCAATCGGAGGGTGTTCGAGGCGGGGTGGGGGGGGGCGTGGTTTGGTCCCATCGGTAGCAGCTTGATTTTTACGGTTTTTGCGTACTTTCTGTCTGGTCTTCCGACACAGGTGCTTCTGTCTGTACGCGGTGTGTCTCATTAGGCCTGTCACGCTTTTATTTTCGATAAATACCTCGACATCCGTGTCACTCTTCGTAGTACGCCATTCGCTTTTTAAGGGAAGACGCTTCTGGCCGAGACCAAAGGCATGTCTATTAGGATAGCTAAAATCTGAAATTGGCTTTGAATTGTTTGTCTATGATAAATGCACAGAAGCATTCGGTTCGGATTAAATGCATGAATAGTTGCCTTCCATTGTATTTGGTCTTCGCCAACCATCGAATTAAAGCAGAGGTCTAATTGGAGAAGTTACAAATACATGACAAAAATGGACAGAACATGTAAGCAAATAAATCGCCTCCATGATTAATGTGATTTGTGTCCCTTCTTGAAGATATAACATTTTTCAAAGTCTCCATGCAGTGTGAATACCTCTTGCATGCCTATACGCAAAGACTGTTCATAGAGCGTTACGTCTTTGCTATCCTCACGCTGATGGTGAAAGCTTATTGCATATTAAATCGTGACTGCATCTGAAGGCAATCATTCCTGTCCTCATCAGAGCTGATAGATACCCTTTAGTGAACTCTCTCTATAGGTTTCGATTTCAGTAAATTACTCATCTGCCTTTTCCATCTTTCTCGTTAAGTATCACAAACCACCCGCTGATAAACAAACTCCACCGATGAAAACGTTTTTTTTTTTTGGTAATGTGCCTTTAAAGCAGCTTCTTAGTTCACTCACTGGAGGTCAAGCGACTGGGACGATATCAGACATTCCAGAAAAATCACACCTGAACTGATTTTATTAAGTCTTGTTTCAACCCATAAAACGTGCTTTTTGTGATGGTGATGTTCAAGATGCTGGGGCTGTGCTTTCATTTCGAGAATCAATTCTAACTTTAAAATGTCAGTTTTTAATTTTTAGCTCGGAAATTGAAATGTTTCTTTTGTTAACAAAGTCAAGCCCCACCTCCTCTTCTCCCCCCCTATTTTCTTTGATTGTTGACTGGAGGGGCCCTGTAAGCGGGGGGAAGG